TGAGCCCCACGATGAGTTTGTAGGTGGTCACAAGATCACCTCTCAGCCTCATCTTGTGGAGGCTAAAGAGGTTCAGGTCTCCCAATTGGTCCACATAGGGTTTTTTCTGTAGGCCTTTAACCAGATGGGTGGCCCTCCTCTGAACCCTTTCCAGGTTATCCACATCCCTCCTGAAGTGCAGTGACCAAAACTGAATGCAGTACTCCAGCTGCGGCCTGAACAATGCCGCATAGAGAGGAAGTATCACCCCGCTAGACCTGTTTGTGATGCATCTACTTATGCAAGGAAGAGTGCAGTTAGCTTTACTTATTACCTCATCACATTGGTGACTCATGTTCATTTTGGAGTCAATTACGACTCTGAGATCCCTTTCCACAGTTGTGCTGCTTGGAGTGGTCCCTCCCAGACTATAGAGTGTTGATGATTCTTCCTCCCCATGTGCAACACATGACACTTATCCTTGTTAAACTGCATCCTGTTCTGTTCCGTCCACCTCCACAGCCTGCCCAAATCAGCCTGGATTTGCTTCCTGTCCTCTAGTGTGTTTACCTCCCCCCATAGTTTTGTGTCAACAGCAAACTAGGACAGGGTGCTTACTACTCCCTTGTCCAAGTCACTAATGAAAATATTGAATAGTACGAGTCCCAGGACAGAGCCTTGGGGGACTCCGCAGCCTACATTTCTCCAGGTAGAAACTGACCCATCTACCACCACTCTGGGTGCGTCTCATAAGCCAATTTTCCACCCACCGGACTGTGTAATAATCTGCACTGCAGTTTTTTAGTTTATTTATAAGAATTGGGTGTGACACTGTGTCAAAGGCCTTTTTAAAGTCTAGGTAGACAACATCTACCTCTGTTCCCTCATCCAAGCATTTTGTGACCCAATCATAAAATGAAACTAGGTTGGTCAGGCCGGATCTGCCTGCTCTGAACCCATGTTGATTGTCCCTTAGCATTATTTTACCTGCTGGTCCCCCGCAAATGTGATCTTTAACTATTTTCTCAAAGGTCTTGCCAAGAATAGAGGTGAGGCTAACCGACCTATAGCTACCTGGTTCCTCCTTCCTCCCCTTCTTGAAAATAGGGACCACATTGGCCCTTTTTCCAATCCTCTGGGACTTGTCCTGAGCGCCAAGAGTGCTTGAACAGTTGTGCCAGCGGGTCCGCTATGACTTTAGCTAATTCCCTAAGTACCCTAGGGTAAAGATCATCAGGGCCTGTTGACTTAAATACATTCAGCCCCTCCAGATGTCCCCTTACTAGGTCTGCATGAACTGCTGGTGGGTTGGTATCTATCCTGGGCTTGTCAAAGTCCTAATGGGATCCATATTCGTATTCGTGTCCAGGAACACGGAGGCAAAGAATTCATTTAGAATTTCTGCTTTAGCCATCCTATCTGTTACCAGTTGTCCTTGTTCATCCTGAAGTGGTCCTAAGTTATCCTGCACTTTCTTTTTCCTGCCTATGTACTTGAAAAATGACTTTTGTTATCCTTGATTTTTGTCGCCAGCCTAAGCTCCATCTCCGCTTTGGCTCTCCTCACAGCTTCCCTGCAGGCTCGAGCCAAACAGGTGAACTCCTCCTTGGTGACTGCCCCCTGCTTCCACAGCCTATAGGCCTCTTTTTTCCTCACCAGGCTCTCCTGGATTTCCCTGCTCAGTCAAGAGGGTTTCTTTGCTTTTTTGCCCCCCTTTATGTGGACTGGGATAGTCTTTTTTGTGCCTGCAGGATTAGTTCCTTGAGAAACACCACTCTTCCTGGACTCCAATCTCTGCGAGGCTATTACCAGTCAGTCCCTCCCTAACTAATTTCCTGAGTTTACCAAAGTTGGCCTTCCTGAAGTCCAGCACTTCTGCCCTACTAGTTATCTTCCCCAGCTTTTCCTATTGCTTAATGTCACAAGTTGTTCCCCATTTCTCTCTATGTGCCTCTTTTTCTTTCTTCATCTCTCCCCTCCACCTCATGCCCTGTCTTATCTCCTTCTCACATGTGCACATGCTCTTTCGCTCTCTGTCTCTCCTTTTCCGGGTGTCTTGTTCTCTCCCTATTTCTTTCTGTTCATCTGCTTTGAAAACAAGGCTAAAATGCAGCTTGATCAGTGTGGCCCTTGGCACATATCTGCCAGGATTTGAAACGGATAATCAAAAAGCATGTGGAGAAAGAGCTCAATGTGTTAGGAGGGACAGCGGAGAAAAGTAGACTGAGGCTGTCCCTCCTGAACGGAACTGTTGATAAAAAGGTCAAACAGGAACATCCTTATCTGCCTTATACAAAGTAAATTGCAAATTACTTTCCATTGCTGTCTTCCCCCACACAGAGTCAAAATGTACATATATAAAATAAAAGGGAATTTCAGAAATTAAGGGAAAAGTATATTTTACGCACTTTCAAACCACAGACATTCACTTTCTTTCCAAAGGCAGCATTAGTAATAGATGTCTAAGACGATGGAAGGTCCAAGATTAGATTATTTCCCTGAGATCAGATGTGAAACACAAGTTAATCTTATTTTCTGGTATTTCTACTCTCTTTATTCTTTCATTTTCTCCTGGAAAATTAGGTTTCTAACTTCAGATCAGTCTATCGTCCCTGAAGGCATGAAAGTCCCACTGCCGGGGCCAGGTAGGGCGGCCTGTGGATGTGGCTGTAGAAACCTTCGTTTTGGGAGGTTTGTTTGTATTTTGTGAATTGACCACTGTAGTGGCCCCTCAGATGGTGCCATATCCCACCCCCAGTGTTTGCATGAATGGTCTCATGTTACACAAATGACAAACTCCCAGCTGCCTTTCACAGCAAAGGTGGCTACAAACTCAGTGCAGAGGAGCCAGGCTCTGGCAGCGGGCAGCCACTTGACCCAGCTAGAAATGGACTGTGAAGGACTTGAGCTTCAAATTAAGCTCCACAAACCACACTTCTTCATCATGACATTTTGATTTGAAAGCTTGTCTTAATGACAGCGCTGCTGCTGCCACAGCTGTGCCAAGAGAGCTGTAGCCCCCTATCAGAGGGTCGTTATATGACCACAAAGGCAGTTTTCTGTGGGCTACACCAGGGGTTCAACCTTTTTCTGCCCGAGGACCGGCCTGGCTTCCCAGCCTTGCCCACACAGCCCTGGGTGCAGCAGATGGGTCTCAGTGGCTCCCCGCCCCCGGGGCCCCCCCCCCCCATCCACTACAAGCCTCGTGTGCACCTGCTGGTCCCACCTGTAGCACCACCCTACCCTGCCCCTGCCTCTTTCTTGGGACTCATCTTAGCCCTGGGGGGCTGAGGTGGCTCCTGGCCAGGCCAGGCCGGGCTGGGCAGACCCCCTGAAACCTGCTGTGGACACCTGATTGAGAACTGCTGGGCTATACCACCTATTCTAGTGGTAGAGCTGTGTCCAGAGGTGGTTGGGCGGATGGTTCTAGCATGCATATATTGATTAAACAGTGAGATCCTTTTTACACAGAGACATTGCAAGCAATTTTTGCTCCTGGGACAGCTGGGCTGGCAGCAGGGTCTGGGTTGGTGGTGGCAGCTAGGTTGGTGGTACAACTGCTGTTTCTGCACCTCCTCTAAATAGGTGCCTGGAGACCCACCCTAGTTATGCTACTATTACACCACTAACCAGCAAGGATGGGCCAGCAATACTTTGTAGTGCAAGCTAGACCTGAGGGTCTATCTCTGTGGGAAGACTTATATCTGAAAGTGAGGGAGATTGTGATGCAATTGGGTTTAAGTGCTGGGTGTTGAACTCTCATGAACGTGGTTTAGTATTCTACCATGTATTTGGGATAAAGAGCTGTTTTGTGCAGGGGAATATGTGCCCCAAAGGCTGAGTTTGCTGCTGTTTCCAGGTTTGAGTATGTGATATCATAAGATGATGTGAGATATGAGCACGTACTTTCCATGAGGAGGAGTGTATGTACCTCTGCATGTATATCCTTCATTATGCAAATGATACAGGGCTCCTTTGTAAAGCCCTTGGAGATCAATGGTAAAGAAAATATCAGAGCCGTTGCACATGTCAACAAATGCAAAGACCATTATGGGGCAGTACATAGAGGTTCAGGGGCAATCATGCCATGCTCTTTACATGCAAGCTCACACAGTTTTTTATGTGATGACAAAGCACGGTCATGCCTTTAAGTGTAAGCAGCACGTGATGATTACAGCTACATAGTTGTGACAGTTTGGAGGTAGGTGTGTACAAAAGCCTCCTCCACTTTTGTCCTGTCTGGGCACAAAACTTTCCAAAGCATAATTAAGCTGACTCTCTTCTTTCATGGCAGACTATCAAGTAGCAGCTGAATTGCCAGCTCAGTTGATAATCTCAAAAACAAGACAGCCCTTGTGTTTCTCATCATTGCTGTGAAGTGTTGATTTTCTGAACTTGGTTCTAGCTATGCAGCTTTCAGAGTGGATAGAATGCAAAATAGTTGCCTGTGATGTATTTGCCTTAGTCTGTTTAATTTCTGACATCAAGCTCATATGCAATTTTAATGAGGGTTTTATTTTTCCCTTCTCTTCCATAGAGCTGATTACTTACTGTGTGTTCTTTTGTTGTGTTTTTTTTTAGAAAATATTGAATGGAGAAGTTGGATGCTTGCATCAGCTGAAGAAAGTGTTTCCCAAGTCCTATAGCCTTCAGTGAAAGAGAAGAAAAACCCAAGAAGATCATGTTCCTGTTAGGTTTGTAACTACAGGAAATAATGAAGGAGCTCTGTTTGTCAACAGGAAACTGGTATAAATGACTGTGTCGTACAGTATACTTCACACACAGAAGTGCCTGCAGGACTGTCTGGGCTGGTGATAAAGCACTTGATCAGAGTGAGGTTTCCCTGTGGCGATGTTGGCTGGAGTTTGATAAATTATTCTTCTGCACAGGCTCAGACTCTGTAAAGTGTATCTGACTGGCTAAAGATGACAAACCCTTTATTTTCCTTTTGTACCTCCCTGCAGTAGAGATCTGAGGTAGCTAACAAGAAACGGGGGTGTCGTCATCCTCCCACCATCTGCTTAGCAATTAAGTGCCCTTCAGAACCCAGACAGTTTTGAGGTGCCTCGGTTATTGTTCACTGTGCTGCAGATATGGACTCTGAGCTTCTCTGGCACTTTCTCACATTGGCCTGGTCAACCTCACCATGCTAGTACATGGGAATAAAGACTTCCTTGCGGATGTAGTTTACATCATCCTGGAACTGGTCATTGCCGTGCTGGCCATCTTGGGGAATGTCCTGGTCTGCTGGGCCGTCTATCTGAATAGCAACCTCCAGAATGTCACCAACTACTTTGTGGTGTCCTTAGCTGCAGCCGACATTGCAGTGGGCGTGCTGGCCATCCCCTTTGCCATCACCATCAGCACTGGCTTCTGTGCCTTCTTCTATGGATGCCTCTTCATTGCCTGCTTTGTCCTGGTTTTGACTCAGAGTTCCATCTTCAGCCTCCTGGCTATTGCCATTGACAGGATCATTGCTATCCGGATACCCCTCAGGTAAGCACTGGGATCATTGGTGTGGGAGAAATTGTTAATAGAATGGGCATCTCTAGAGTTCCCTAGAAACTGCAGCTGAGGAGGAAAGCGTGGAGGAACTGTGGCATTTGCACTGTAATCCGAAAATGCTTTTTAGGCCTCCCCAGCTGCTGGCTTGTCTTGTCATTGCATTTCTGTTTCTTGTTCTTTGTCCCCATACAGTATGTGCCCATGGCATTACAAGAACATTGCCTAGGAGCTTGAGTTCCATATTTAGAGACAATCATGTCTTACCCTTAATGATTTGTGTTCCAAGTTGAAGTAAACAGTGCCAACAAGATCACTGTGGGAAAGCTTGAGCTAAAGGAGGGTGTTCTGGAGGAAAGGGTCTGGTGCCAGGTGGGTGGGGTGGGGTGGGGTAGTCCTGCCCCCAGCCCCACCCCTTCCCCTGGACTCGTCGTAGCTCTGGGGGGCTAAGGTGGCTGCTTTGGTACATGGAAGAATGTGGAGAGAATAGGGGCTTTAGGACATGGACGAATGGTTTTGTAGTGAGACTGGCTGTTGGGGAGTGCTGATGAGGAATCCACAGCCTTCCCAAAGGGGCGCTTTACTCCTACTCAGGTTAAGAAGGGCTTTTTGTAAAAGCCATTGTTTGGAGGGGTGCCTGTTTCTTTACAGAGGGAAATTAAGTGTTTTTGCCACCCAGCCCTGCCTACAGTAGTGACTGTAGCCTGACCCCTCCCTTACTCCAGTGCACTTAGGCTTCTGCACCCCAGGACTGTAAAAGCTTCCTGTAGAGATGAAGCCAGCAGTTCATGGAAGCAGCTGGAGGTTCACCGGAGAGGGTGAGAGCCCTTGGAGAGGCACATTCAGGCTAGGGACAGAAATTACACATAAACTGGTGTAAGTGAACAGAAACCAGTTCAGATCTGTAACACAACAAAAGTTTAATGCACATAAATCACTTTCAAAATGGATGAAACTGGTTTAAGATGAAACTGGATGGATGTAGTATTAGACTTAACTGATTTAGGTTAAATCAGTTTATTGCACTTCTGTCCCTGATCCCAATCAGACTCAAGTTAACTCATAGTCCCCAACATCCCAGGATGCTATGCATCTCCCTTGCATACCCCCAGAGTGGACAGGCTAGCCTTGGCCCAAGCTGTCTGCTCCAGCCAAGCAGGGAGACATGTTAGTGCACTGCAGGTTCTGGGCTGGGCTGCTGCAGGCATGTGGCTGCATTTCCAGAATAAAAAATGAATGTCCTTTCACTTGCTTAAGTTATCAGTTCAATCTACACAGCTTAGACCAGGGGTAGGCAAAGTTTTTTGGCCAGTGCGCCAAAAAGCACCACAGTGCCAGCATGCTGGCATGCCAGAAAAACAAAATGAGGGCAAGGGGTACATGGCAGGATGCCCTGCTTGTGCCCCTTGCCCCCCGCCCAAAGCCCCTGCCCCCCAGCCCTACTGCCCCTTGCCTCCCACCCAAAACCCCTGCCCCCCAGCCTGGGCTTTGTGGCTGTCAGCAGCTACCCTGGCTCTGGGTAGCTGCTGGAGCCCGGGCTGCTCCCAGCAGGGCTTGAAGTGTTCCAGCTCCCTGCTAGGAGCAACCCGGGCTCCCGACTGGCAGTAGCTACCCAGAGCCGGGGTTGGCTGCAGCTGGGAGGCTCCAAACAGCTGCGCTGGGCTCCACAGCTCTGGCATCAGCTCCGTGCTGGCGGCAACTGCTTGCTCACCTCAGAGTGGACAGCAGGGCAGCGCAGCCCACCCCGAGGTGCCCATGAAGTCTTCACCAGCATGGAGCTGTGGAGCCCAGTGCAGCTGTTTGCAGCCTGCTTGCTGCAGCTGCCAAGAGCCCAGGCTGGCTACGAACAACTGCGCCAGGCTCTGGAGCACTGCCATCACCTCTGTGCCGGGAGCGGAGGAGAGACTGGGGTTGTGCTGCCTCAGGCCCCTCCCCCACTGCCTGCTCTGGCGCGCGGGTGCATGCACTGGTACAGAGCTGATGCCGGGGCTCTGGAGCCCGGCACAGCTATTTGGAGCCTCCCGGCTGCAACCGGCTCCAGCCCTGGGTAGCTGCTGCCAGCCGGGAGCTTGGGCTGCTGCCAGCAGGCAGCTGGGACACTGCAAACCCTGCTGGGAGCAGCCCGGGCTCCGTCACTGGCAGCAGCTACCCAAAGCCAGGGTTGGCCATGGCATGCTGAGCAAAATGCCCTTGTGTGCCATGCTCAGCACGCGTGCCAGGGGTTGCTGACCCCTGGCCTAGACTAACCTGCATCTGCGAGCGAACTGACTATTTGATAAAGTAAAACAAGTGCTGCCCATTCGCTGATTCTTTTCTATCGCTGTCCAATCACAAGTAAGACAATAAGGACAAATTGACAAGAAATGTGCATCTCTAGCAGTCAGACCTGCAGTAGCCAGTTTATGGTTGATCCTTGCAGAAATATCAGGAGGGATGGGGAGGGTGAAAACCTGCCTTCTCTCCACTGCATATGCAAGAGGTAGATGTCATCCCTCTGGTCCTCCCCTCCTCATGTCCTCTTAGGCATTTGGTGCAACAGAGACAGAGTCATTTTCATACATACCACACTCTGGCATGAGCCAAAACAGGGAAGCATGCTGGTTCCTCCTGCAGATGGGGAAGGAAGTGCCTGCTGCTTGTTCTGCTCAGGGTTAAATGTAGCTGAAGAATTTGAAACTGGCTTCTGGTGTCTTGCACACCTAAATCATGTACGTGCTTGAGGACTCCCCCTCTTCCCCCCCAACCTCTACCCCCAACTGCCTCCTCCACATCTGTGCAGTAAATCATTTGACTGGACCTACATGATTCATCTGTGGCTTTGTCACTTGTGAGAAGCAAGGCAGTCAGGAACTCTGGCTGATTAATAACACCTCTGACTTGGAAATAAAGTTTCTAATTACCGTTGCGGTGATGCTGTTTCCGCAGCAGACTCATACAGATGCAGTACAGTTTTTCTGAAGGCTTTTCTGTGTGTAACTGTAATTCCATCTTTTATTAATTGGTTTCCAGGCATATACACAGTGTTACAGCCCGCTATTTTAGATGCCATTCTGAGAACTGGTTACATCACCATAAACCCCTTTACACTGGATTGTGTCCACATCAGGGAGTTGGACTAATATAATGTTATGAGGTTCTGAAAGAGCATAGGTAGATGTGGTACAAAAACTGTGTGTAGATCAGAGTATGTCTCTAAAATAATGTTTCTTCTCAGAGCATGCAAATATTTCTCATTCATCTCAGATGAATGTTAACTCTGGAACCTTTTACTGACAATTTTTCACATTGTAAAAGGATGAGCTGAATGGCAGGAAAAGTTTAAAACAAAAATTGGGGCATGTGCTGATTTAGTTGTTGTTTATGCTCAGTTTTTGAATTGCTTTGACTATTATAAGTGTTTATAGGGCTCAGCAATACAGATAGAAGGCACCTTTATACAAGGATAATTACATAAAATGTATATTCCCCTCCTTCCCCCCCGCCCCCCCCAGTAAAATGCAATTGGTATAAAAGATTGTAAAATAAAAGGTCTCAAATGTTCAACACATGCCCCTCCATCTGCTGTTTGCCTTTTATAGTTAGGAATGTATGATTTATCGAGTCTGTTTTACCTGAAAGAACCTGTATGTGACTAGACAACTCAAATCTGTTTTTGACCTTCAGTATGATGAGAGCACCAAACCTGTAAAGCTAACCACAGACTTCTGGGGAGGTGAAATTGGGTTCAGAATTGCCTGATTTAAACTTGCCTGATTTAAACCTAGCTTGTCCTGGTGCCAACCTTACACTTTTAGACCCAGTCTCAGTGACGGGCAGTCAGTCCAAACCTGTAACTGTACAGAAGTTCCATGCACACAAACCGGCCTGAAAATTGCAGAACCCAGTTTAAGATAAACCTGGATCTATGTCGTATTAGATTAACTCAATTTAGGTCAAACTGGTGCATGGAACTTCTGTACACTTCACCTGTACAGCTCCAGGGCTGGGAAAACCTAGCCATTGGCCCCAGCCCCAGGGATGCTCTTTTCATTCTTTCCCTCTCCCCACAGGGGTCTATTTTTTGTGTGTCCCTTCCCTTCCACCCCCCACCAGCCAGCCCTCTCAACTCCCATCCCACAAGCCTCTCAGTACAGCTGCTTTTATCAGTATTTGCCACTGCCAGAGCCAAGCAAGTAAGTCTGGGGTGGGGGGAGGGATGGGGGTGTAGGTTCACTGCGGGGAGACACCCCACTCCTAGTGGGTCTTGCCTCCCTCCCTGCCGTGGGTTGTGCCTGCTCTCCTCACCCCATCTATAGTTTGCACCTGCCCCCCTACTCCACCTCTGGGTCACACCTACCCCCATCTCCCAGAGGACCCTCAAACCACTCCAGCCTGCTGGATCCTCAACCCCCTGGCTAGCCACCCCATCCTGACTTACCTGATTTGGGGCAGCCATTTTGAATTGATTTAACCTCCCTCTAATGCCCCTGAATGTCTGTACTTAGCCTAAATGGACAAAGGAAGTGGTATTAGACTAGTCAGAACTTTTTTGTTTAGCACTCAGTTCACTCAAACATTTAAAAAACAATTGAAAGAAATACTTTCCTTTTAAAAATTCAGTATCTTTACTTTAACCTGTAATAACTGAGAGTACTTCCTCTAGTCCATTGAAGGAAGAATACCATGCAATGAAGGAGACAAGACTAGAAGTAGCTAGTATTCTGAGGTGTGTATATATACCAGACTTAACACCCCCCCCCCCCCAAAAAAAACAAAACAAAACCCAAAAACATAACACATTTTCAGGCCTCTCTTGTACATCCTAAAGAAAAAGAAAGGGCCCAAATTCAGTATTTTTTGTCTTTTTTAGGTCAATTTTAACTAGTTCACTGCTGATTGTCTCAAGCAAAATAACCAGGTGTTTGCATTTAATTGAAAGGGTGCTCCACAGGTTTTTAAGAGACAGATGCTTGACTGCAATCTCAGATCTTGTACAGGCTTGTCCATCCTACTGGAAGAGATGGACTGGAATATCTTTGAGGAAAAATCTTGCCTAAGGGAAGAATGATCTTCACAAGGTAGGGACAGAAAAGGTACACTTGGGTATAGTTAAAAGGGTTCAGGCTAAGCATTGTGCTTAAAAATATCCTACAATTTCTAAATCTTGTTTTCCAAAACAATCAATAGATAACTGTGCAGAATTTGATGAATGCTTCCAGTGTTTTGTAAATAGTCTGCTGATGCCACAAGGAATTAAGAGAGAGAGGACAGTCCATCCGGTTAGTTGCTAATATCAAATTCCAAAATGTAGCAGTGTTGCGTTCTTGAAGCAGAGAGAGAGACAGGCTCTTGAATGGTCTGGGAAGAACAGTTGGCTGCATCTCTAAGATGGCAGGTATGCTGAGAGCATGCGCTCACTGGCATAATAAACCTGGGTGTTATAAATAAAACTGGCTGGGTATTCTTAGTTCCAGGGTGATGTGGCTGGCCAAGAACAGCTGGCGCTTTCCAAGCTCTTTGGGCCAGCACAGGCTCCAGAGGGCATAGTGCCCAGTGTGTGCTTCCGTGTGTTTGTTATAGAGGTATTCCCATGGAGAAATGGCAGGTAGGTAGGGTGCCCTGAGAAGAGGAAGAGAAGAGGTTTTCTTCCTGCAGCCAAATGGAAAAGTTGGCTCAGATTGCCATCTGCCTATATTGTCCCCCTGTGAAAGACAATAACCTCAAGTTAGGTATCTTTCAGCTTCTGATCACATTCAGTCAATGGCAGTATCAGATAGAGCTGCAGACCTGTGGTACCACTCTGAAGCAAAGCCAGGAGCTAACCAATGTGAAAGTAATTATGTGGCACTCTTTATTTGAAGGTCATCCTGCACTCGGTAATCCTTTGTCTGGCTCATTGCTTGCCACCTATGAGCGAGCCCTGAAGGGAGTATTCCTCAGAAACAGTCAAAGGGGCTGACCTTTTGAGTAGTATGATTTTATTTCTTTCTATTTAAAATGTTGTCTTTGGTCCCCATCTCTAAGGCACCTGGGGATGTGACAGCAGTGACTCCAGTCTTGGTGTAGCTTTTCAATTTCTAGAAGCTCTGGCTCAACTACTTGCTAGGTTACAGTTGCAAGGAGGTTAGTCACCTTCCCCTGGTCCTTCAGAGTTGTATAGACCTTGCTTGTGTGCAGTGGATTCTCATGCGTCAGCTGTCTCTCAGCACTGGTCGATTCTAGGAGTGCAGTGCCTTGGGCATCAGTCATGTGCCCAGCAATCATTAACATGTGGTTTTGCACATGGGAACTGATTATGCTGACCAAAGGAGTAGTGCTTGGACACTACATTTACTGCTACCTGTCAGAAAGCACAGAGGGTTCAACCTTTAATGGCTATATTGGCAGCCACCAGTGATGGGAGAAGGAGAATTTTTGATGGAGGACTTCATGAAATGGGGGTTAAGTTCCAGACCGAGGATACAAGAGATCTGGATACTGTGCCGCAGGATTTCTTATGCAGCCATAAGCTGTGTTTGTGCCTCTGTTCCGTATCTGTAAAATGGGGACATTCCTCCCTTTGTTTGTCTTGTGTATTTAGGTTGTAAGCTGTTTGAGGCAAGGACAACCTTATGTGTATTTTTAGTGCCTACCACATTGTGACCCTAATTGGGAATATTAGAGCTTCATAATATAATAATTTGTAATAAGCTCCAAACTCTGTAATGGCAAAGCTTTCTAGCGAACAAGTACCATACCACTAGCCCCGTATCACAGAGAACTGACCAGAGAAAGTCTTAAGTGCAATCCCCAGTAGTCAACAGGATTTGGGAATCAGGGATAAGGAGCGGACAGATGTGTAGGTAAGTGAATGAGTATGCTTCCTTTGGAGCAGTGTGCGCTGAACCTGGGCTGGGGGCTGTTAAGGATTCTGCCAGTAACCATTCTTATAATGTGAGGAAAACTGTCCACCAGTGAGAGGTGAGAAGACATTGGTTTTTGGGTGCCCCTTTCCGGACACTTAAGCCCCGGATCTTCAGAAGTGTTGGGGACTCGCAGTTCTGACCAACTCCACCCCAGTTCATGTGTGCTCAGCACCTCAGGCCCATGGTGTCTCTAGCTGAGCCTCAGAAATTGAAGTGTCCCAAATGACCAGAAACTTTCTGAATATTTTGGCCTTAATGTAGTTGTCCAAAGTAGGAACAATCTTACAATGAACTACTTACTAGAGAATTGTAAGACCTAACTCCAAAACCTAGTGGAGATCCCTAAATGAGGCGCTATGGAAGGGCGTCCAGATTTAGGCTGGTACTCACTACCACCTGCTGTGTCCTCTAGGACAGTGAAGCAAAGAGCCTATTTGGGTTAAAAACTGGTTCACAAGCCTTTAAATCCTCTTGCATGGGAATCCCCAGAGGGTAAGAACATGGAGGAAGGGGAGGAGTTTGTAAGCAGCTGTAATAAATATATTTTTAGTGGAAGGGAAGGACATCTCCAGCCGTGGGATAACAGCTGTTCAAGTTCAAAATTCCTCCCGACAGAGATGCAGCCAATTCTAGTTGCTATTTTTTAAGCGTCAAGTTCCTTCAGCAGATCTCTTGCTGCCTTGTTTTGATTTTAAATATATGTTTTGAATCATAAGTTGTAGTTTGATTTGTGTCAGTGGGATCTGAATCGAAGAGCAACCCCCTTTTCCTCTCATATCCCCAATATAGAGTACGCTCAGCCCCTTTCAGCGGTTTAGACGAGAGCTACAAGTTTCTAGAGAAACCCCTTCACCATCTCTCCAGAACCTGGGGGAGGGAGACTTGTCCCAGGTCTGAGGGAAGAGCCAGAGGATGCTTCTTGTCCTCCCAGCCTCCTTTGGGGGGGGGGGTTGGGTTAAGCGACCTCTGGAGGTCCTGTCCAGCCCTACTTCTCTTATGAGTCTTCTCTCTCTGATTCTCCCCCACTTTTTCTTCCTTTTGAACTGCCATTTAAAAATGAACAAAGGGAATAACAGTCCATATGTGCTGCTGGTGCCTCAATGCCCTTTCCATGGTCCTTCATCAGTGACTGAGAACCTGTGCCAGGCCCCAGTTCTGCACTGTGGCTGGGAGAAGCCAGGCCCCTCCTCTGAGCTCACATGAAGAGCACAGTGTGTGTGGGAAAAGCAAGCCCATGGAGAGAGAGTTGTCTCTGTTGTTTTTTTTTTAATGTTTGTTTGTTAAAGAAATGGAGATGGAGAAGCAGGGAGTGGGAATAGGGGGCGACATGGGAGACATCTTACCATGATCAGATCACGCACACATGAGGTCAGGCACAGTGTGGGATCAGTGCTAGACAATGTGGGAACTCTGCCATTCCTTTTCCGTGCGAAGTGCTACTTAGGAAAGGAAATTGTATTGAAATATGAAACCACCCCTCTGCTTCACATTTCTGTGGAGCAAAGCTAGTGCCACCAGCTCAGGACCTGCAGCTGCCTGCTAGTTCTCAGTGACTGGCTGGTAATTAGGACAGGTCCCTTGGTCTGTCATTAGGGCCTTACCAGGTTGCTGTTTTCTCTCTCAGAATATTTGAGTGGATTTATTCCTGGGTGCATCGGCTTGGGACAGGCTTAGTGATGCCTTCCTTACAGTTCTGTGTGTTGGCCCAATCTGTAATACGGCCCTTCTGTGAAAATCCTTGTTCTGAGCCTACCAGTCATGCTGAATTGCTGCTAATGTGGAAGGCACATCTGCCAGTATTGTTCAGCGGGCAGCATCCATTTCTACCATTAGTATCAATACAATACTAATCCCCCTCTCTGCATTACATTGGTGATACTGAAATCCTTAGGATGTTCATCAAAATCAGGTTGGTGCCACTGGAATTCACAGTCCAAGATCCTGGACTGGCTCTTATTGTGGACCGGTAGCATGCTCTGTATCTGGGACTCTCATCCAGGCTCTGTGATGCTGGGCCAATAATACAGTATCCTCGAGCTCTCTGTTACTAGTCAGCTGTACTGTCCACCCAGGGCCTTACCTACACTCAGATATGGAGCTAGCAAAACTTTTCTTCAGGATTTTCTCTGTTGCAGAATGGAAGAACTATTTCAGTATTTGCTGGTAAATGGAAGTGAAGTTTGTGCATTGCTCTAGGTGCTTCTTTTATGTGTCAAGGAGTTGGAGCAGGGCTGCCACCCTTTGCTTGACAATCAACCTAATACATTTCTGATGATGCTTGAGAGATGCAAGGAAAGAGAAGGCAGGTGGATTTTGGCGGGGGGAGGAGCGGGAGGGTTTATACAGCTCACCTAATATGTTGTTGCCCATCCTTCAACACCCAAGAGTGGATGAAATAAATTAAGAGGGTGTCCAATATCGCTGTAGATCCTGCGGGGGTTGAGGCAAGTGGGCTGTGCTCTGCTGTTCAGTTACTCTTTGGATAGGCATGTGACAGCTAACCGGAGTATTTCAGGACAAGTTTCTCCTCTTTCTGGACTCACAGGGACAGGCCATTGGAGGGTTACTTAGGTGTCAGGTGTTTGTGCCAGTTACACTGCTGTAATTCTTCTCTCCTCTGTTTTTCAGGTACAATGGTTTGGTGACTGGCTCACGTGCCAAGGGTATCATTGCCATCTGCTGGGTCTTGTCCTTCATCATTGGCCTGACACCCATGCTGGGCTGGAACAAATGTTCCCAGAGTAAAGGTCAGGATACCAATAACTCGTCTCCAAACAACTGTAGCAACAGGATGGTGGCTTGTCTCTTTGAGACTGTGGTCACCATGGAATACATGGTCTACTACAACTTTTTTGCCTGCGTGTTGTTGCCCCTCCTCATCATGTTTGGCATCTATTTAAAAATCTTCATGGCAGCCCGGCGGCAGCTGAAGCAGATGGAGAACAAGATGGTGCATGGGGAACGCTCACGGTCCACTTTGCAGAAGGAGGTCCATGCAGCCAAGTCTTTAGCCATCATTGTTGGACTTTTTGCCATCTGCTGGCTTCCACTCCACATTATAAACTGCTTCACTCTTTTTTGCCCAGGTTGTACCCGTGCTCCCCTCTGGCTGATGTACGTGGCCATTATCTTGTCCCATGCCAACTCCGTAGTGAACCCGTTGATCTATGCCTATCGGATCCGGGAGTTCCGACACACCTTCCGGAAAATTATCAGTCAGCATATCCTGGGTAGGAAGGAGCAGTTTAAGACCGGTACTGCCAGCTCTCGGACTTCAACTCATGGTGGGGATGGGGAGAATGCCAGCATAAGGATCAGTGAATATGCCCTGAATGTATACACCAATGGGGAGATCCACAGAGACCCTGAAAAGCAGGACCTGAGCAAATGCAAGGCAGGTTTGGAATGGCACCAGAATGGGAGTGCATTGGACATGGAAACAAATGGGCATATCCCACATTCTTGCAAAAACGGGGACCTCTCAGAGGCATGTAAGAACATGGAGCTGCTTAGTGAAGAGCTGATTGAGACATCCGTCTCTTACTCTGATCTGGAGAGTTCAACCTTTGCAGCAGCTGATGTTTCCTGATGACTTGTATAGAGTCTTCCTGGTAGAATTATTATTTTTTTGCCCTGTCAGATGCCTCTATATGGGAAAAAGGGAGGCTGGGAAGAAAGGGAAGTCTGTGTCCACGTCTTTCTGGTGAAGGGGGTCCTTGCCCAGGACTGATGGGAAGATCCTAAGAGCTGGGCTGGAGAAAAGTAATGAGAGAGTTTTGAATGGACTATGGAAGAAGGAAAACTGTATCTGTCGAAGGTCCAGCTCTGAGATGCAGAGAGAAGCAAGCTAAGGTCAAAGCTGACATCCTGAGCTGAGCACCAGGAGACTGTTAATTCAGGGTATATTGTGCTGTTCTCCTCTGTCCTGTGTGTCTGTGGATGTGTGTTGGTCTAGTTGTCTTCACCCACAGAAGTAAAGGGCTGGTTAGAAGTATTCATATAGAGGGGTGGGGCTTTTAAGTCTGCAGCCTCTGTTAAAAATGTAAAGGGCATAACCGTGCCTGCTGGTCAGGAACAATACCTAAGAAGTGAAGGGATTCTCATCCGGAGCTTTGGACACCTTAAACTACATAACTGTTTTACTTTGTCATTGTTGTTTTTAAAGCTTAACTGCACCACAGGTTTCCTGACTCTTCTTATCACCACTAAATCACATCTTCGTAGGACCTGCTTCTTATGTATAATGGTTAGCAGTTGAAGCATGACTATACACAGCTCCCAACGCCGCCCATGTCCCTGGTAGACCCAGCATGTTGAAAGAAACCAGTAACTATATTTCACAGACCCCCATTTCATTTAAAGAAGTATGAATATGAAATTATTTTAAATAATTTATATTAGCCAAAGGGCAGAAGGCATGATAGGGTGGCACCCTGGAGACTAAACGGTTCAGAGAGGCAAAAGCTTTCAGAGGCAACAGCCTGCTTCGTCACATACTAAGGGGTGAGAGCAGATCTGTGTTCTGCAGGTAACAGTGTGACAAGGCAGGGGTAGGGAAAGGTGCCCAGGAGGTGTTGACCGGTTTGGTGGATGGCTGGCAGGTGCGTTGGGAGCAATAGAAGGGGATAGGCTGGAGCCAGGGCCAGGTTTGCGCTGTCTTAGAATCATTTTCTCTCCATCTGTCTTTGTATCTGCCCAGCTGTATATGCAGAATTCATAGTTTCATAGTTTGTAGGGTCGGAAGGGACCTTGACAAATCATCAGGTCCGACCCCCTGCCATGGCAGGAAAGAGCACTGGGGTCAAACGACCCCAGCAAGGTGTTCATGTAGCCTCCTCTTAAAGCCCCCCAGGGTAGGAGCCAGCACCACTTCTCTGGGAAGTTAGTTCCAGATCCTAGCCGCCTTGACTGTGAAGTAGTGCTTCCTGATGTCTAGTCTGAATCTACCTTCTGCCAGCTCGTGACCATTATTTCTAGTCACTCCTGGTAGT